TACTCAATTGTTGGCGGGCGGACCTGCGGACAGGGTGATTACATACTACGTCCACACTGAAATGTGGGCGTATAGAAATAAAAACTAACTTTTCAGTAATCATTATTTTTCAGCTTGTGGTTAAATCACCAGCCCAGCTAATAAACAACCTTTCTCTGGCTACGCGAGGAGGAGTGGCGCACAAATATTTCGAGGCTAACTTTGCCAATATGGGATACCGATGACAATTAATCTTCCAAAATGCCAAAGGATGTTTTGATGTTCCTAATATTGGTTCTGTGGAATAAAGGGAAAGTTTATTCTCAATAATAAAACCCATGCGTGACATCTGAGGGGCAAACGAGTGTTGACGTTGGTGGTTTGGGGCTTGCTTGTAGCTCTCCAAAAGTCTCGGTTTCCTACGCGTCTCCGATCAACCATTGTACTGTTGTCTTCTCCGTGTTGTCTGTTTTGATAAACAAGGCTGATATCATGGGTCTAAATACGTGGATACGAGGGCATGAAAAGAATAGATCAATTGGGTGAGAGCAAACTGAATAATAGACATAACTACAACTGTAGGGCTATTATTGTCTTCGTAAAAGACCATCTTGTGAACCTACCCATGGACAAAACTGGTTATAGGACAGCCATAAAGTACCTGCAACTGAAAGGACTAACCCCACCACAGATACATGCTGACATGGTCGCCATTTTAGCCGATGATGTCCCTTCCTTTTCCACAAGAAAGAAGTGTGCTGTGGAATTTAAGCGTGGCAGAGGAAGCCTTGACGATGACCCGCGTCCCCGAAAGCCATCAAGAGCAACCATTCATGAAACCATTACCTGGGTGCTTGACATAGTGATGGCTGGGCATTTCTCCAGCGAGGGCTGAGCAGGTTATCGCCAAGGAGTTAGGAATGGCGAAAGTTTCTGCAAGATGGGTGCTAAAGCTCTTGACAGCGGATCAGAAACGTGTCAGATTCCTGACCTCCCATGAAAATCTACCCCGTTTTGAAACAGATCCTGATATCTTTGGGCCAGATTTTTAACAATGGATGGGGCCTGTTTCCAAACATGAAAAGGAACTAGCCGGTCGTCATTTTTCTAGTAAAGATGACATCATGTCAGCTGTGAACGGTCGACTTTTTTTTTAGGGTGGCTGAAGAAAATTTCTTTCTGACGGGAAATGAAATGGGTTTTAACGTCCTACTGTTTTGCTTCGACTGGGCTAATGAAGACTGCCATAAGCCATACAGTGTACTATGAGGGAAATTTTGCCCAGACAGTGGCGCTACGGCCTACTCTTATATCGAATTTCAACTGCCAGCCCTCGTAGTTCAAGGGGTTTATTATTCCTACGTCTCCTTTTTAGGGAAGACCAAGATTAAACGAAGGGCTGTCATGTTGCTGTACTTGGGATAGATTTGATTGAACAGAAAGAATAGATAAACAAGTATCAGAAGCCAATCCAGCAATGGCCAGAGAGGAATTTCTCGGGCCATTGCTTCGGGAATATGAGAAAAGGATGGAAGGCCATTAAAGTGCAAGATCCCGCTTCTGACGCTTCCCTCGTTTATTCAGCAGTGTCTTTATAAGAGTATCGGTTATTTTCCACTGAATGGCGGTGGCTTGAGTTTATCGTATGAACTTGCGTAATGAATTATAGCGGTCTTCTGCTCCAGCATTCGTTTCAGCATGTAGAATGAACTAACCCACCTGGTTTGTGCGCTTGCAAACCATGTTTTTACTTGCAGTCTCCTAAGCCGTAACTTGCTAATACCCCCGTCAGACAGGGGTGGTGCCCTTACCGCGCTTCTACGGCGACGGAAAATGGTGCCAGAGCGCGTCAAGATCGCCATAAGCGTGGTAAAAGCGTGGTGGAAACGCCAGGTATCGCTCTGGTCTCCATGGTCGCAAATGATCACCGAGTCACAGCGTTTGTTTTGAGCATGTTCAAAACAAACGCCAAGGTTCTGCGATCTGCCTTTGAAAGATGTGAAAACGCGACTTTTTTTCAAGGTTGTAATATTTTGGGACATTTTCGCACGTTGTGTTCACGTTTGCCGGCGACGTTGCACATTTTCTGGTCACCGTACGGTCGCTGCAGCGCAGTAAGGACGCTATCCCGGTCTGACGGGGGCATAATGAGGAGTGATTAAAATGTCCCGCAACTTTTCTTTAATGGAAAGCCTGTCTATTACGGTTCTTTGGGATACGATGTTATCTTTCCGTTCCGTTGGGAACCAAATGTCTGTGGTCATAGTAATATATTTGACATCCGTCAGTTCGTCTTTGATTTGAGACTATAACGTGGTTCATGAGTTGCCAAATATCAACGTAAACCAACATCTTCTGTACCTGAAAATGGCTGAATATCTATCGCAATCATCTCAAGCAATTTACTGTTCACACGTTGCGTCTTGGCACCCGACAATGACCAGGGAGTAACTATGTCTACAGTTTCCGTAATCCGTATTTGGTGAAGCATCTTGTGCTCCTTGGAATTCCACAAATTCTAATCTTTGGTTCGAGCGTAAATTTCTCATCAAATTTTACGTAGTGTAATTATTACCGCTGGTGCCACCTCGGTAAATTGAAGCGTCGTAAATTTAACCGCACTTTGATCACTGTCACTTGCCGTGACATTTCCAAATCTTTCTACTTCGCGGAATTATTTTATTTTCATCGGACTAATTAACTGCTGGTGTTGTCGGCGCACGGCCATGATGCAAATGGTAGCTAATGCGTAGAAGTATGGCTATATTGTTTTTAGAAAAGGTGGGAAAATAGGCCGATGCCGTTAAAAAAAAATTGAATTTGTATCGTTATCAACAATTAATAACTCATACTTTATTAATTAAAGATACATTATGGGAGATTAGATAAAGAGTTGGCAGTTCCCACTATAATAGCTAAAAATTAGATAATGTAAAGGGAATTTGTTGAAAATTTCAGTCAAATTGATGCACTCTAAACCGAGATTTTAGCGATGGAATTTTCGGTCTAGCCTCGATCATCATTACTCAAGTCGGTTCGATAAAAAAAAAACACAGTCTCGATTATCCATTGCATGATTAATTTATGGATGGAAGTCGAACAGGAAACGGAACCCAATCCAATAAACATGACAGGCTAGCGATGACATCTAGAGTTTATTATGGTCTGGATCAGTTAATTAATGTAATTCATAATTTAGGTAACATTTCAGGCCTAACGAAAGACCTGCAATAGGCAGATTTAGCGATTGCATAATGTATGTTTAATAAAACAACAAACAAATATGTTCTCAATAGATGGTGTTTATTTTTAACCCCATAATAAACTTAACCCAATTATTTCTTCAATAAACACCATGTTCGTGTTTGATTCCCGAGATAAAATAGTACCCTGCGCTTCTAGACTAACAATGACATGTATCTACACCCATAGGCGTACGGGAAAATTTTTGACTGGGGGGGGCGGTGGTGGTTGGTGCCCAAAAAATGTAGTTAGGTTCTTAGTATGTTACATAATTATAATAAATTCGCTGTTAAATTGGACACATTCAAGAACGCAATGTTATTTTATACAACTTTTACAAAGTACAATTGTGTGCCCAAATTCCCCCCCCCCCAGCCCCACCCCCAGCTCGTACGCCTATGTCTACACCAATTATCATGACATTCGAGACATTTTAATGGGTAATATTTTTATATCAGTCGCTATCTGACACACAGACGGATAAGCCCATAACCTAATTAACATTTGTTCACCATGCTTGATCATTATACTTCAGTTAGAAGCAGGGTTATTCTGTTCCAACGAATGTGACGGACAGGGCTTTCATAGTCTACACAGAAACTCATCATTTGACATAGACGGGCAGGTGAAACTATGTCTATGAACACTTACAGATTTTACCTCAATAAGAATCAGAGCTATTATGTTACACTAACAATTAAAGATACATTATGGGAGATTAGATAAAGAGCTGGCAGTTCTCACTATAATAGTTAAAAAATAGATAACGTAAAGGGAATTTGCTGAAAATTTCAGTCAAAGATCCACTCTAAACTGAGATTTTAGCGATAGAAATTACGGCCTAGCCTCGATTATCGTTACTAAAGTCGGTAAGAAAAAAAAACAGTCTCAATTATCCATTTCATGATTAAATTATGAATGGAAGTCGAAAGGCAAATCGGAACCTAATCCAGTAAACATCGCAGGCTAGCGATGCCATCGAGAGTTGATTATGGTCTGGATAAGTTAATTAATGTCTAATTAATAATTTAGATGACATTTCAGGCCTAAAGAAAGACCTGCTATAGGCAGATTTAGCTCTTGCATAATGCATGTTTAATTAATACAAATGAAAATATTTTTGATTAAAGCTTCATAAGGTTAAGTTGATTAAAAAAAGAATCTTGGTTATTTTTAGTGAGGATTGATATTTAGAACTAATCTTTCACTTTCCTACAGAATGAATAAAGGCGAACTGTTTGCCGTACACCCATGTTCTGAGATAATTTAAAATTAATGGACGTCTATACATAAAAGCAAGAACTGTTACATTTCACCCCTTTGTTCTCCATTCACATTTCGCATGACCCTCTCCTAACTCAGCCCTTTTAAGAAAAAAAAAGCAATTGAATTAGTATTACCGATATATCGAGACATAAAACTATAGATCTCAATACAGAAGCAAGGAATCTTAAAAAGCGTGTTTATTCCAGACAGTTTTTTACACACGGCAGAATGGTGTAATGATTAGCATTGCATTGCGTAAATCTGTAAGGAACCTCCACAAACTGATGTCGATTCATATCAATCAAGAAAAATAAATGGCACCAGTTATCTTATCAGTTTAAATCACCATTAACAGATTTGTTTTGTTTTTTTAAAAAAAATCTTTGTTGTCATGGATTGGGCTGTTAAATTGCAGCCAAGCTGCCCACCTGAATAGATAACTCACTTGTTCGAGTAGGATCCTTGAAACGACCTCGCCAAATTTATGTCATATAATATCAAGGATTGAAAATCTAAAGAAGAATTGGTTTGAAAGAGGAAGACTTGAGTTGTTGTTAGTGGAAGCTTTAACGGATATTGCTAGATCATTGCTAGAGTTTCTCTCTTACGTATGCCTTAAGAGTTAAGTGTTCGGTGGATCGAAGAAATAAAATCCCCGTCTTCTAATCACGCTGTCTTTTACAAACTTTACTTCCACAACTATAGACAAGTTTACAGCGAGCTAGTAACTCGTTATATAAACTTTAAAAGGTAAGATCATTTGTATGTAATATATTTTAGTATTATTGACAAATAGATGAGATCCAAATTCTTAATTATCTGTTCAGAGGTCGATGACTCCGACATTGACGTTCATAATGTGTTTTTTATTTAATATTAATTGTTAACATTTTACAGAAAAGAAGTGGCAAAGGTCAATAAACGCTTCTTTCCTTTGTTCTCATTATTCACAAGTAATTGCTAAAAGTTCTAGAACATGCACATAAATGGTAGCGTGATAATCTATCTTTTAAAAACCATTCTTACAGAAAGTTTTTAGACTATTTTCACTTTCATGAACGAACCAAGGTTAATTCAAGTGTGAATGGTAAAATTTATATGAATGTTTTAATTTAATATAAATTTGGTTACACTAAAACATGGCTAAACACGATTCAGTTGCTTTGAATCAAAGTCAAGCACATTAGGGTGTGTACATTCTCTGTCTAAAACATTTGATAGATTTTAGATTTTCTCCAATATGTAATAAGTTTACAGCTAACATTTGTTTTGTTGTACGTTTATATTGAAACAAATAGGTCAACAAATCAGCGACCGGGGAGTTTCGACTTCTCACATTTTAGCACTGAATTTTAAAATTGTCACATGGGAATGCATTATTTATTTTTTTTGTATGGAGGACAGGTTTTTAAATTTTTTGAATTTTAAAATTGTCACATGGGAATGCATTATTTATTTTTTGTATTGAGGACCGGTTTTTAAATATTTTTAGGATTACACGGAACTTATAGAGATGCTTTTAATGGTTTCTATTAATCTCATCCGATTTGCTCAAAGTTAGGTTTCGTAATGCAGGAACTCATCGATAATTCTTTGGCAAACCTTCACAGATAAATTGGTTATTTTCGTAGAAATAATATCACTGAGATTGAAATGTGTGATTCAATTAAATGAAATGGGGTTCTACCACTTATACGGCTTACTGTTCTGCACCAAGCGGGCTAATCTAGATCAGCATACGACATGCACTGTACTATAAGGGATATTCTGCCCGGATAGAGTCGATTCCAACTACTCTCCGACGAATTCCAATTGTTCAGTGTTCTTCAGGCTTACATGGTTGACCTCGGTTCATCGTCCTATACGAAAGACTAGACTACGTTCATTGCCAGGTCCCCATCCTTCACAACTGACAAGAGGGGAACTGACTGGAAAATCCAGAATACCATTCTTGGCCAACGGTATCGAATAAAAGACCTCCTTGTTAGTTGGGGATTACGTTGCTAAGTGGGTAGGACGCTGGCTCGCTAGTCTGGAGGTCGGGTGTTCGATCCCTGCATTGGCCGAGAAAGTTCATTCAGATTTTCCGGCGTGGTTTCCCCCTTGTCAGTGATGCAGGATGGATGGCCTGACAAGGACAGCTGTCTAGTCGTTTGGGTGGGACGGAAAACCGAGGTCCCGTGTACACATTGGCGTGCACGTAAAATATCCCTTGGCTGTTGGAATTCGATATAAGAGTTGGCCGTAGTGCCGCTGCTCGGCCAAAATTTCCCTCATAGCACACTGTATGGCGTTTGTCCGTCTTCATTAGCCCAGTTTAGGGGTAGGGCGTTAAACCCCATTTCATTTTATTTCATTGTTAGTCGGTCAGATTTCAATTAGCTCTTGGTTGTAAAAATCATTGTTCATTTATGTTGCTATTAGATTGGTTGAAGCCTGAGACCTTTCTTTTTCGAACAGATAATTGAGATGTTACCCAGAAAAGTTTGCGGAGTCAACATGTTGTATGTAGGTTTTAAAAATGAAAACAATGTTGCTCAATGTCAATATTTGTATTCATTAGAGATTGAAATGGTAGCATTACTTTGATAGTAGTTATTTGTTTTTAATAGTGTTTCCGTAAAAGATCCCTTGACAGTAGGAATTCGATATAAGAGTAGGCCGTAGTGCCGCAGTCCGGGCAAAATTTCCCTCATAGCACACTGTATGGCGTATGCCCGCCTTCATTAGCCCAGTTCGGAGCAGAACAGTAGGACGTTAAACTACATTTCATTTAATGCAATTGTTTCAATAGTTTAACTTTTTAAAATTACTTCGCAAGTTACAGTTAATTGGGATTGATATTCTATGAGTATTTCTAAAGGTTAGAGAGGTTGGTCTGTCGGATTTGCAATTTAGAACAAGATTACTTCATACTGATTATCGTTATTTTGAGATTAATTTTAAAAGGTTTCTACGATTGAGGCTTGTTTCTTTTATTAATTCAGTTAAGATCAATCGGAAACCGAAAGAAAAAAAAATGGGGCTTGGCCTGATTTTTATCTAGTAAAAAATATTAACACAGATTCTTCTGATTTTCGCTTTTGTCACTGATATGTTGTAAAACGTAGCGGAGATGAGTAAATGGACAACTTAAAAATTATTTTATCAGAACTGATTCGATGCGTGAGAAACGAAGCATGCCCTAGAAACATGTATGAATCGTGTGTAGTCCACCGCATTGTAATATATGAATGTGTATGATCGTAAATTAAATATTATTTAAATCAGAAATAATAATAATACGGAAATTTATATCGCGCACAAACAAGGTCCCTCAGTGCGCTTGCAAAGTTTATGATGGATCTTCGCTTCCAAAGTGTAACTGGGACAGATATGTGTTTAGTCTAAGTTTGAAAATGTCAGTTGATTTTGAGTTTTTAAGGGGATGATTAAGATCGATCGAGTTCCATAATACAGATGAAGCATATCTAAAAGAACGTCTACACATTTGGAAATTCACTTTTGATACAAGGAGGTTTTTGTCATTTGATCGCTTATTTAACATTTGTTTGATATGTTAACTGTATAGAACAGTTCTTCTTGATCAATTTATTTAGAATAGAAATAATCGACTCATGATCCATCTTTATCTTTTTGTTTTTACAATCGGCTATTCACACCAGCATAATACAGATTGCCAATACCTGCTTCTTAAAACAAGATATTCCAGGTTTATTTCTATTCATATGTACTTGTCTTGATATTTACTATAAGACATTTCTTTGAATATTTTCTCGGGGTTTCAAGAAAAATCTTTTAATAATCGATGCCTTAATACTTGTTATTGTTCTGATTACAGACTCGTACGATCATATTTATTGATGAATTGACTTTGTTCTAGTCCAAAATAGAATAACGGGGATTGTTATTGGACCTGTTTTTCTAATGACGTATGATCCGATTAACGTACGATAATAAATTACACTTTAAAACATATATTTGAAACAAAAGTAATAACATGTGTGCCTAAACCTTGGGATGTCAATTAAAAGGGGTATAATTGAAATAATAGTAATATACTGCAATGTTTATGCTATTTATTCAACTTTTCAAAAATAAATATCTTTTCAAGTTAGCAATGACAGGCTACTTTGGTTTTCTTTGAAACCATGCTTCAAACTCTCCGAAGCATATGGCGATAATCGGCCCTCCATGGCCATGCGGAATTCCACGTGAACTTTTAAAACTTCTTGCCATGTTTACCTCGCACACTCTCTTCAATACTTGGATGCGTGGATCCAGTTATATCAGTTTTTTTTTTTTAATGAAATTGGAGGACGTCAACGTTGTTCTATAAATGTGACACGGAGAAGTTACCCTTGTAAATAGTTATTACCCGAAAATGCTGTCCACTTAGGTAGAAAGCGGGCATTAGATAAAGCTATTCCACCCACAGAAAGAACTGGCTATTTGAGATTAATACCCACTTAAATAATATGGCGGTTCACTTAGGTGAAAGCGGGCGTTAAATAAAGCTATTTCAAAACCAGAAGAGCTAGCTATTTTGGATTAATAATAAAGAAGTTTTATGTAAGATTTAGATAATGAACTGGTCGTTCTTGCTTTCATAGATCAGAAAGAGATAATGCAAAATGAATATATTGAAAATTCAATTCAAATTATTTTATTCTGAGCGAAATTATCACCGTTTGAAGTTTTGACAAAATGTGGCATATATTTTTTTTATTATCGTAATAACGTTACTTGTTATTCGAGACTTAACCTTGCTTCGCAATTTTTAAATTAAATCATTAAATGGCGACCGTGTTTAACCCGTTTATATCTCTGTCATCCGATGATCTAGAGAGTTGATTATAGGCTTGCCATGTGAATAAATGTCTAAATAATAGTTTATATAACATTTGTAGCAAAATAAAGACCCACCATTGGCAAATTTAACTCTTACATAACGCATCTTTAAATAACCACTCAAATAATATGGCGGTTCACATTCTCAACACTGGTTGGGAGTAAGGTTATCCAAGAGATAATATTCTGCGCAGTTCCACTGCTCTGCCAATCTGATTAAAACACAGATCCTATTTCGTTTCGTTTTTTATAGTTCAAAATTTCGTTTTACATGTCTTTACTACACTAGGATCTGGAAGAGTTGTTATATAACATGCGTTCTAGTTGAAGCGAGGGATTAGACAAGGAAACGATCTTTTACGGTAAGTTCTTGGCGTGTAATGCACGGAACTGTGGGTAAACACCCTGCACGTTTCAAGTCAGTAGCTTGAAGCGTATATATGGTATTAGTGTCAGTGGCTTGTGGCACGAAGTAACAGTATATTGTCGCATACATAATATATTATGTCAACGCTTGGGCGACATAATATATTGTGTTGACGCTCCAAGCGTGTTAGCATATTAGACCTGTAGACTCAGTGGAATGTACGCGTCATCAGAGCGGATCCAGGGGTTGGACCATGGGGACCGGTCCACCCCCTTAACAATAGAAAGTGTCCCTGTAAATAAAAGAGGGCACCATTATCAGAAAAAGGGCACCTGTGATGTCAGAATTTCAAAAAAGGGCTCTTTTCTTTCGGATTAGGGTTAGGGTTAGGGTTAGGGTTAGGACACAGAAAAGAGAGAAAAAACAGAAAAGAAAAAAACAATCGAAACTTACCGATTCCATGATGGAAAATACCGCCAAAATATGTCTCCAAAGCATTCATTGGTTATCAAAGCGCCAATTAAATCTATCG